CGGTGTCAAAGCACTCTGAGTTGGGAGAGGCGCGGTGGCTGGCAGGGGACGCAGCTGTGGACCCAGTCAGGGGCCGAGGAGGGGGCCTAAGGGGGGCTGTGGATGCTGGGGTCACACTTTCCCATCCTGCTCCTCCCACACCCCAGGGGACCCAGCTGGAGCCAAGGGGGCGGATGCTGTCCAGGCCAGCTGACCCCACTTCGCCCCGGGGAGCGGGCTGGAGGTCCAGATGGTGGACTTCCCGGAGGCATCTGCCCCCTCCCCCCCCCGCACAGGAAGTCCCTCTTCCCTCTTCAGAGCATTCTGTGAAGAGGCGCCTTCCGTGGAAGAGATGACGAGCACTGCGCCTTGGCCTCCCTCCAACGCTTCACACTGTCTCTGCCCATGTGCAGATAATCCCGCCCTCGCACTCCCCGCCAGCAACCTGAGTTCCCACACAGCTCCAGGCAGAGGAGCCTGGGACCATGAGGAGGCCGAAAGAGCCGACCTTGGGGCCCATGGACACGCCTCAGAGCCTCAGACTATGGCTCCCTGTCTCCATTGGTGATGTTCAAGATGTCATGTAGATGATCCTCAGCTGAAAAAAATTATCTTGGAAGCCAGAGACAGAGGGCCTGGGTGAAGTCCTCAGGCCCTACTCACACGGATTCCAGCCCCCAGCACCCAGATGGCGTAAGCCCCGAGTACCACTGGGTGTGGCCCCCAAAGCAAACAAAATAAATTAAAACTAATTATATAGGGACTGGGGGTGTTAATTGGTGGTGGAACATATGTGAGACTTGAAGTTCGATCCCTGGCACTGACACGGTCTGCATAAATTATAATTCTAGCAACGATCACTCTTGCGGCCATCTGTCTGTGAGAAATGGTATTCATTTCCAGAAAGTCTCTGTGTGGGGATATTTGCTTCAGTGAGCACTGAGGACCCACCCAGGTAGGCAGGGTGTTGGCTATTAAAGAAGGCTCAGGAGAGTGAGGGGCACGAGGCAGAGGACACACAAGGGGGGCAGGTCTATTCCTTCATTTGTCTCCCGTTCCCTGGGGAAGGACAGGAAAGGGCAGCGCTGGCCCTGGGAAAAGCCACCATTAGCCGGGTACACCCGAAGCAGAGAGGGCTGGTGAATCTGCTCCATGTGCAAGTTAGCTTGGACCCGGGGCTTAGCCTAGGTTCTGCTCACACCAAGGGGAGCCTGGTGGCGCCCAAACCAAGGAAGAAACCAGAGGCTGGATGTCAGCTGCAGAAGAAGGGCCCAGAGCATGCTGTGAAGGAAGCCGCAAAGATGGTGAGGCCTAGAGAGATAGTCCAGGAATTAAGGTGGTCTTGTGTGCAGACAACCCCAGCTTCGCCCCAACACTTAAGGGCTCTCCTGAGATCACCAGGAGGGCTCTCTGAGCTCAGAGCAAGGAGTAAGCCCTAAGCACTGTTGAGTGTAGGCCCCCTCCTTGGGGTGGGAGCTGGCCTGGAGGGAGGATGGAGCAAAGGAGAATTGTGAGATCTTTCATGGCCGGACAACCTCCCTGGAATATGCTTAGCAAGAGTGTGATGTGTGATGATGGAGCAGGCTCTGTGTGTGTGTGTGTGTGTGTGTGTGTGTGTGTGTGTGTGTGTGTGTGAGAGAGAGAGAGAGAGAGAGAGAGAGAGACAGACAGACAGACAGACAGACACGCAGACAGAACATACAGACAGACACAGAAGAGGCGGGCAAAGAGGGCCTTTAGATCCACTTGCATACAAATTAGACCTTCTTTTGACTTCTCTGCCGCCTCCTGTGGACGAGCTGGGTGGCTCAGGTCCCTGTCCCAAGCTCTGGGGTACTGGGGATCCAGAAAGGACCCCTAAGGCCTGGAGACTCATGGTCATCACCGCTAGCATAGGGTTGTTGCTACTGGATCCCCTCTGGGATCGGAGAAGCTCCCACGCTCTGGAACGCAGGCCCCCTGGCCTCTGGCTCTTGCCTTGGGGTGACATCACCCCCCTGGGGTGGGAACAGCTGTCCCGCTGGCTCTCGTCCTGTCTAGACCCAGTGGAGGCTCGGGCGCCCCCAGTTCCCACACTCAGGCTTCCTTCCGTCTTGTCCCTCAGTCTGGAGCCCTGGGCAATGGGGCAGCCTCCTCGAGAGCAGAAAGGCTGGAAAGGACCCAGGAGACACGTTGTTCCCTGTCAGATATGACGCATGCCCAGGTCCTTTGGCTGTGTGTGCCATAGTCATGGAGAAAGGGGTGCTGTGCAAGCTCTGGGGGACCTGACCTAGGGACTCCTGCCCCGTGGAGGCAGGGAGAGCTGACGAACATGCTGACTTCCCACTCACAGTCTGCCTTATACAGGCCTTGGAGCCGTCTCCATAGCCCTGCACTCATCCCCACCCACCCCTCATTCTCCCTGGAAAATGGCACAGACTGTCAGTGTTATTTCTTCAGGGTGCTTTCCAGAGCGGCAGAGACTGAATGGGGTCACTTCATTCCTCCCACATCTCAGCCGGGCGGGTTCAGACTCAGCAGAGGGGCCCTCGGGGACTGCCCTGGCGCTGCACCCTGGCAGGAGGACGCTGGCTGCCCGGAGGGCTGATGTGCTCCATCTCTGCTGTCGGGGTGGGCGGTGCAGGTGCTGCTAGGTTCTGGGAGGATGCAGAGTATGGAGTCCAGAGTTTGGGTACTCCAAAACTGCTTTTCCTGTGGAGCAGCAGCTGTAGGGGAGAAGCAGGGAGGGGAACAGGAGCGGTTCTGATGGGCTGTGATGGGTCCCTGCAGGGGAGTAGCATCTGGACCTGGATGTCGGAGTCTCATGGGGAGGCAAGGCCCCTGGGGTGTCAGGTGGGAGGGACAGATGGGGCGTGTGTGCACGTGTGTGCATTTGTGTGCATGGGCCTATGTGTATACGTATGTGTCTGTGTGCTTATGCATGTGTGTGCATTTGCATGTGTTTTGGGAAAACTAATATAGGCAGAAAAGACTTAGAGACGGGAAGGCCCATCCCCTTGGGGCAGTTGGGAGGGATTAGTAAAAATTGCCCTGAAGTTCAAGGCTAGGGGCAGGCTGTGGGGGCTGGGGCACCTAGGGGAGTTGGGGGAAGCTGTGTGCTGGGGGGGGGGGGGGGCGGAACTGGGGAGACTCAGCTGAGCTGCCCCTAAAAGGCTGGGCCAAGCTTAGGAAAGCTCAGGAAAGAGGAGGCAGAGATTGCGTGCCTGGGCCCCCAGCACGCATGACCATTTAGCTGTTTCCTGCGCTGACAAGGCATGTATCTCCCTAAGCCCCTCCTCCTGCCCCAGGGAAGGGGCGCAGGTGGGCACCGTGTACCTCCTGCCTATAAATGCTGCAGGCACGGCAGAGCCTGACCTAGTTGGGGTGAAACCCAGGCCTGAAAGGGCCAGCTGCCCCGGAGGCCCAGGGGAGCCCCTCTGCCCCCCAGCCCCCATGCTCCCAAACACAGCCCGCGGGCTTAGCTCAGTGCATTGGTACGAGGCTGGGAGTAAGATGATCTTGGTGGGGCTCTGGGGGGCTTAGGGAACAGATGGTCCCCGCATGCACACAGGAAGGCTGCTGGCGTAACGTGAGCAGATCTGGAGGGGAGCTGGCCGGGCCAAGGCAGCTCGGGCGGGAATGGAACCTCCTGAATGTTATCAGTCCTAGCATCCCCTCCTGTCCCCAAGCTCGGCCCTCACCCAAGTCACTCAGCCCTTCCAGCTGGCACCTGAACTCGGTCATAGATGTCCACAAAGAAGCAGGGGACCCCCCTGCCCCGCACCAGTGTCCCCACTCTTGGCCAGGGCTGAGGAGGCAGGAAGGGCCCCGGAGCCAAGAGGGGAGCACAGGTGTTTGGATGGAGCACAGGGCTGGCCTCCCTCCTGGCCAACCAAGTGTGCACGGCACCCCAGATCAAGAACTGGGAGTCTCCCCTTCCTCCTGCTCAGGGAAAGGAGTTCTCCACCTCCCTGCAGTGGACTGAGCAGCTCTGGCTAGCGCCACTCCACTGCCAGCCTGAGCACTGTGACCGTGAGCACCACTTAACTTTGCCTCATTTGTGGGATGCACTCATCTGTGGGAAGGAGAACAGCAACTCTGAGTTACCCGAAGATGCAATGACATGAGGTGCCTACAGCACTTGGCACTTAGTAAATGTCTCCAGTGATCACTGTCATTGTTGCCCTGACACCAAGGTTGCCCAGAGAGGCTTGGGAAGAGGCACGGGTGTGAGGTGGGGAAGGGGCGGCCACGGCAGCCATGTCCCTGCAGGCAGCCTAAGCCCCTCCTCCCTGCCATGTCATTGTGAGCCACTAGCCTGAGTGCCTGTTTCTGTCCAATGGAAACTTGCTTGTCCAGGCCCAACTCTGTGGGAGGGGAGATTAAAGGGGCGACCTGGGCAGGCACTGCACAGACGCACTTGGGCAGCGCTTCTCACCCAGGGCCAGCACAACCCTCTGGGGGCCATGGGATGTTCCAAGGAGGCCACAGGTGAACATCACATACACAGAGGGTCAAGCCTTAGGACATGGTGGGTGGGACACAGGAAGGAAACTTGGGAAGGAAGCCCTGGGTGGAAGTGGCAGGAGACACTGGCTCCGAGTGTCTGCGGGCCCTTGGGGACTCAAGCCCCCAACGCCCAGTCCTCCCTGCACTAGCCCAGGCTGCTCAGTGGGGGTGGGGTCACCCCGGGCTGCTTGTGTGTGTGTACGTATGTGTGTGCATCTGCGTGTGTGTGCATGTATATGTGCGCGTGTGTGCGTGTTTGTGTGTGCATGCATGCATGTGTGTGCAAGTGTGGGTGTGCATATGTGCATGTGCGTGTGCATGTGTGCACATGTGCCTGTGTTTGCATGAGTGTGCATGTGTGTGCGTGTTTGTGTGCGTGCATGCATGTGTGTGCATGTGTGTGTGTGTGCATGTGGGTGTGCATCTGTGTGCGCATGTGCCTGTGTGTGTGCATGTGTGTGTGTGTAGGGGGGTCAGTCCAGTGTCCTTTCCCACGTGGCCATGGCTCATGACCTTTGTTTTCTCCCCTGCAGGTGTCCATGAAGGAGGTGGGCGACGGTCTGCAGGACCAGATGAACTGCATGATGGGGGCGCTGCAGGAACTGAAGCTTCTCCAGCTGCAGGCGGCTCTGGAACAGCTGGAGATCTCTGGAGGGGGCCCTGGCGCAGGCTCTCCTGAAAGGTCCCGGACACAGTCCGAGCCCCCTCGGCGGCGCCAGGGTCCCCGAGGACCTACCAGGCCTGCAGCCTGTGTCCCTTCCAGTGATTCTTCTGAGGACAACGGCCCCGAGTTCCCGCCCTGCAGGACTGACTGTGGGAGCGATCAGGACCTGCTGCCCGAGCCCCGTGAGTGGACACCACCAGGCCCAGAGCTGGACAAGGCGCACGACTGGCCATCCACGCTGATGTCCCGTGGCCGGAACCGCCAGCCTCTGGTGTTAGGGGACAACGCTTTTGCCGACTTGGTGGGCAACTGGCTGGACTTGCCGGAAATGGAGAAGGGTGGCGAGCAGGGAGAGACTGGGCAGGAGGGCCAGCCCAGAGCACCGAGGGGCCCGTCCTGGGAACTGGGCCGCCGCTTTGCTCTCACCGCAAACATCTTCCGCAAGTTCCTGCGCAGTGTGCGGCCCGACCGGGACCGGCTGCTGAAGGAGAAGCCTGGCTGGGCGACCCCCACGGCCCCCAAACCCCATCCCGGCCGCGCTCACAAGGCTGGGAAGTGGAGCCGCACCAAGGGCTGCGGACAGTTCCCGTTCCTCAGCCACGCAGGGTCCAGACGAGGGGAGACGCACCCCAGCAGCTGCCCCCAGGCCCTGCGGCCCTCACCCTCGGGCTTTGATATCAACACTGCAGTTTGGGTCTGAATCCCAAAGACTCAACACTGACTCATCTCCCCACCCGCCCCCGCAAAACCCCATACTGGACCCCAGGGGAGGGCAGGTGATATGGCTTTTGAAAGCCAAACTCTGTTCCTTTCTTTTAGAAAGGAGGGAGAAGCAATAGGGGTGTATAGAGCACTGGGACAGTGCTCTGTGAGGGGAGAGAGAGACAGAGAGAGAGAGAGAGAGAGAGAGAGAGAGAGAGAGAGAGAGAGAGAGAGCGCATGCATACTGAGTGTGCACTGCTATGGAGAGGAATGGGGGAGAGACCAGGAGACACCCTAATGTTCTTGCACTATCCCCTAAGACCTCAGATGAACCTTCTGTACAATCTGGAGGCACCAGACCTTGGGCCCCCAATAAAGAGCTTGTCTCCAGTGTTCCCGGCTTAACCACTGAACTTCCTGGCCAGGCTCTGATGCGGGCACAGACATCTGGAACCTCTGCACTGGAGAGGCCAGGGCCTGCCCCAGCCCTTTCTGCTGCATCTGAGAAACTGCCGAGTGGCTGACTGAGAGGAGAAAGTGCTGGTTTAACACCACCACAGGCAGAAATCATTCCAGGCCACTGTTTGAGGGGCAGAGAACTCCGAGGCCAGTATGAGCCGCAGGGCTGGGGTGACATCCTGCACCAGGCTGATGGGGGTGGGTGTGTAGGTGTGGGTCCTACAATCACACCCTCCTCCCCTCAGTTTGGCACCTCAGCCTGGGCCTGAAACCTCTACCCTGGTGACAGTGACTTCTCCCAGGAGCGGCCCGCTAGGAAAGCCTCTCCAAAAAATATTTTTTGTTGTTGCTTTTTGGGGCCACACTGGGCAGTGCTAAGGCTTACTCTGCTCTCAGGGGTCACTCCAGGTGGGCTCTGCCATGTGCAAGGCAAATGCCCTCCCTGCAGTACTATCACATGGCCCCCTCAAGTCCCTTTCTATTTCATCAGCTGGCACTGCCAGTGGCCTCATCTTCCAGCCCCCCCACACCCCCAGAGGGAAGGACCAGGGCTGAGCGGCTGCCTTGTCTGCACCCTCCTTGGGCACTCGGCCCAGCCCAGCCTGGGAGCTGCAGGACCGCCCACCATGCTGGAGAGACAATGTGGGTCCCTGTTCCCGCAGCCCACTGACACTCCCTCCCTGTGCCCGCCCACACCCTCCCCTGCCCAACAGGGTGTGACAGCTGCAATTAGAGGCACAAGGCCTTCCTGCCCCAAGGGTGAAGAGCAAATTGGGAGAAAAGCAGGAGCCCTTGGCCTGCAGCCCTGCCCCTCTGTCCTGTGCTGGGGTGGGGAGCCTGGCCTAGAGCAGGATAAGGAGCCTTTGGCTAGGGGCCTCTCAAACACCCCCCACATCACACCAAGATGTTGAGTTTGGGTAGCAGAAAGCATAAGGAAAGAGGTTTTTTGGTTTGGTTTTGGGGTTAGGGATCACTCCTGGCGGGGCTTGGAGGACCAGATGTGCCCAGGACTCACTCAGCCTCGTGTGAGGAAAGATCCTGACCAGCTCTACTCTCCTGGCCCCAAGAGCTTTGCATTTTTTCCCTTTTTTTTGCTATTTGCCAGATTGCGTGTGCAGTAAGTTTGAGGTTTTTATTTTATTTTATTTTATTTTTTCATCAGAGTGATGCAGAATGATCATCTTTTTGAGAAGCCAGTGGAGATTTTTATGGATCACAGAAGCTGCTCATTTCTGGTCACCTGGAAATGGGTTTGGACTGGAGAGTTAGAACAGTGGGTAGGGCACTTGCATGTGGCTGACTTCGATCCCTGGTACCCCAAATTGTCCCTGAGCACCACCAGGAGATCACAATGCAGAGCTAGGAGTAAGACTTGACCACTGCCGAGTGTGGTCCAAATCCCCTTAGAATGAAAACAAAGAACAGGGGTTTGAGTCAGGGCGGGGCTGTCTGGCTCCTACATCCCTGGCTGTCCCCTCTCCTTGGACCCGCCAACCAGCTGTTTTAGGAGAAACACCGGCAGTTAGGCCTCGCCAGTCGCAGGCCTTTGGGGATGATTGTGTGTGTCAGGCTCGGGGAGGCAGCAGTGGGTGCAGGACCCAAGAATGACACCCTGACTCAGGACACACTCCAGTCATGCAGCTCCTCACCGCCCCCACACCCAGCCAGCCCTTGGGGGCCTGCCATTCCTGATGCATATGGGAGAGATAGCTGGAGTCGGGAGAAGATTCTGGTTCTCAAAGGCTTCTTTGGGCTTCTCGGGACTCAGGTTTGTGCCCCGGGGCCTGGGGTCCCCCCAGAGCTGTGGCCCAGAACGCAGATATTCTCTTGTCTGCTTCTGCTCCTCCAACCCACCCTGCAGAGCAGGTCCCATCAGAACTGGACTTTGTTCCTGCCCCTCTTCCTGGATCCCTCCTTCAGGCCAGGTGTGTCTCTCAATCACAACTTCCCAACTCTGGATGCTCACCCCAAGTTCTGGGACCCCTATAACTCCCACATCAGAGTGAGTCAGCCTTAAAAACACAGTACTTCTGTTTGTTTGGAGTGATAGCTCAGCGGATAGGGCATTTGCCTTGCACACGGCTGACCAAGGTTCGATTCCTTCATCCCTCCGACAGTCCGGCAAGCTACCAAGTGTATCCCGCCCACACTGCAGAGCCTGGCAAGCTCTCCGTGGTGTATTAATATGTTAAAAACAGTAACAAGTCTCACAATGGAGATGTTACTGGTGCCCGCTTGAGCAAATCGATGAACAAGAGGACAGTGCTATAGTGCTACTGTCCAACCAGGCCCAGTAGGGGCAAGGGTGCCCACCCCTGATTTCAGGGTGTTTTTTTTTTTTTTTGACTTTTGGTTAGAACATTTTTTTTCCTTTTCTTTTTTTTTTTATTAGTGAAACACCATGAGGTACAGTTATAGACTTACAAATTTTTGTACTTGGGTTTCAGTTATACAATGATTAAGTGCCCATCCCTCCACCAGTGGGCAGGGCTGTTTCTAAGGAAAGTCCTTTATTATTTATTCACTGTGCTCAGGGAAGTGAATGTGTGCTGGGGATGGGACCTGGGGGTCCGTGTGCAAGGCAACCCCCTACCCCTGCACTATCTCTCTGGCCCTTGGACAGTATATTTTTGTGTTGCTGGTCCACAAGGCCTGTGAGGAACAGGGCAGGCTGGACATTGCTTCACGCACTGCCCCCAGGTCGACCTTCAGCTCATGTGTGCCTTTCTACCCACTGGAAGGACTCTGGGCAGAGGGAACAGAAAGGCTGGCTCTGTCTGGCCATCGAATCATGCCCCACTGGCGGCCCTGCAGGGTGCCTGCAACAGTAGGACAGGAGTCAGAGTTGCCCCCACTCTAGCCGCACCCTGGAGCACTGACCCCCCCCCCCCCCACCCCTCACCCCGGTACCCTCATGACACCTTTATTTCTCCTATTTCTCCCAACTGCCAGGGAGGAAGGCTCTCTGGGCACAGCAGCCCCCCGCCCCCCCCCCCCACCCCCACCCCACACACACACCCAGGGACTGGGCTGGCTTCCTTGCTGCTGCTCCCTGCACTTGACTGCACTGGCTGGTCCCCTGCCCCTCCTGGCTGACCTGAGCCCACAGCTGCGGGGGTGGGGGGGGAGGGGAGGGAGGACTGGGAGGAGGTGGATGATCACGCCTCAGGGGCCCGGTACTTCCCATGCTTACTCCCCGGCTCTCCCTGCCTGATCACTCCCTCTGGGAGATTCTCATCTACCTGACTGCACCTTCAGGGATGATGAGTTACCTCCACCCCAATTATTTATTTTTAAACGCTTTACAACTTTGCATCTGTTCTTTTTCTGGGTTCTCATCTTCCTGCTTCCCAGGGGTGCCTCTTCCTCACCATCCCCTCTGCAGTTTATTTTGATTGGGGACAATCTCCTGGCTCTGTGCTCAGGGGTCACTTCTGGTGGCACTCGGGCAAGTTGCGTTCATACTCTCCTCTCCAGCCCTCCTTCTGCAGCTTACAGGCCTTCTCCTTGGGCTCTCCAGAGGCCTTCTCTCTCTTACCTAGGAGCTCTGGTGCCTGGGGCAAGGCTGTTCCTAGGAAGCCTCATAGCCCCACTCACTGCATCTCTTGAAGAGCTCTGCCTCCCACTGGGCCCTCCAGTTCAGGGCAAAGCTTGACATTAGGTCCAGTCATGGCCTTCCTGCCTTCAGAGCACCCACTGCCTTCTACTCTTCAGCCTGTCCCAGAATAAAGGGACAGCAGCCCCGAGTGAGGCTGGTTGCACCCCCAAACCTGACCCTGTCCCAGCTGTTGATTTGCTTCTCACCTAAGCTCTGCATGGCTATCCTTCCAGCCCATCCCCCAATTTTTAAGCCCCCTTTCCTGGCCTGTGGCCACTGGGCTGCCCAGAGTGCAGAGGGTCATAGCAGCTTCTCTTCAGTTTCCACCCTGGAGAACTGCACTTTCACCCCAGCGTGTTTCTGCCATTTTCACAAGTCTTCCCGGCCCCGCTCCTCTCCTTGTCCTTCAGGACAGCAGCACCCACTTGCCTGGCCTCCCTGACACTCAAGCTTTGGCAAACCTGTTGCTAGAGACATGCCCCCCAGCCCCCGCCAGCCTCCCCTTCCTGCATTGTGATTATGGATTGCAGCAGGGCAGGGCGGGCCAGTGGGGAAGGAAGTGGAGAGTGGGTGTCCAGCACCTTCCCTGGCCAGGCTCCAGGCATTGTGTCCCCAAGACCGAGTTACCGCCATGTAGCATGCCAGAGCCATTTGTACAGCAAAGGGTGGGCAGAGGAGGGTATCAGGGATAGGCTGTCTTCTAAAAAGAAAAAGTTAAAATCCAGAGATTCTTTCAACGGGGAAAGTGCAGCCGCTGGACTCCCTGCAAACCCAGCAGAGGGCCCGAGGCTGCATCTGCTAGGTCGGGTGCTGAGTGCTGGGTCGGGCTACCAGCACCACAGAGGCTCTGGGTGGGGAAGGATGCTTGCTCTTGCTCAGAGGATGCAGTGGACCACAGTGACGTAAGCAGCTGCTGGACGCCCTCCTCATAGGTTCCACACATCTGTCCAGATGTGTCCATTTATATGCCCCCCAAACAAGGGATGTGGGACTCCACTGGTGACTTGAAAAAGTCCAAAGAATTCCAAAGCTTCTGGTCTTGGCTTCAGGCCCCTGTTGAGTGAGCTGGGATCAAATTTCTCCAACTGCTCCCTTTGATGCATGTGCTCCGGGCAAGGCAGGCAGGCAGGGACCCACGATCTACTTCTCCAAGAGGAAAGGTCTCCTTCATCTTGTGGTGCCCCAAGCACTTAGCTGGAATCACACTTGTGAGGACAAAGAAGGTCGAAGGAGGCCTCTCATCTCCCCATGATGGGCAAGCGGGCATGTGCCAGAGGGCTGGAGAGAGGCAACAGCACCCCATCCACAGGGTCTGGGGTAGGGTGCTTGTCTCGCA